TCTGACAAAATGAGAGGAACAAAATCTATGTATCTCTACTCTTATAGTAATTGATTACTGCTGTGACACCATCCCACCTTTTTTACATAGTTGTGAAGAGTTCACTTTAAATTAATTGGCATCAACATGAAATAAATTACATGAGTGTGTAGTTGAAATGTAAATCAGGCCCACATTAGATATAATTGGAGTAAAACTGTTTTGTAGAGATTGTGTGGGTGAATGCTAGAGATAGAATTTTGGCATAAAAATTAAACGTGTGAAGGCTATAATATAAGACCAAATTGTCAGTTTTTGTTTTTAAAGATACATATATATCTTTTAAAATATATGTAACATAATGAATCTCTTTATTCAACAATGATTCAAATTGGTTGTGTATATTATTGAGACATCAGCTTCCATATAGACAAAAGGAAGTAAAATTCAATCTAAATTTCAAAGCCAGGGTGATGGACTTGAAGTTATTTTGAAATTCAAGAAAAGAAATCTAGACTATTTCCCAAAGTCATACCCAGATTGATAGGACTTGAAAGGCCAAGATGATACTAAATTTCATTAGAAAGGACATTGGAAAAGATACAGAAAACACTTTACTCTGCTTTTTATTGTATCCAAATGTCCCCTCATCAATACTATGGGTACAGAAAGATGCAACATCACACAAAGTTAGAAAAATTCTGTTGAAAAATGAGTATGTAGAGAGAGAAAACAAAACAACAAAGTTTTTGGGAAATAAAGTGTGACAATAGCTCATGTTTGCACATACAGGTTTTATATTTTTACAATATATTATTAGGAAAAAAAAAAAAAAACTCTGTTGCTTATATCTTGAGGCTGAAATATGTTAGTTCTAGGGAAATACAGGGAGCTCTGGTGGCATAGTGCCTAAGGCATTTGACTGTTAACCAGAAGGCTGGCAGTTCAAACCCATAAGCCACTCCTCAGAAAGAAAGTTGGGCAATCTACTTCGTGGTGATATCGCCTCAGAAACCCAAGGAAGGGTCACTGTGAGTTGGATCCAACTTGATGGCAGTGCATTAGAGAACTATAAGAAACATTTTCCATAATTGTATAGAAATCATTTATTAAACATTAATAGATAAGTATCAATAAATTCAATTTGGGTTTATTTAAATTCATGGACTGTAGCTTTACATTAGATTGTTAAATAAGTTAGGATTATTTAAAGAATATATCATTTAATTTCTTCAGATCTGGAATAATGGAGAACAACCATAAATTACCTTAAAATAAGCCAGAAAATCGTGAATACTGTGCATGTGACAACTATTCTTATAATTTGAAGATAATTTCTTTAAATACCTTGTAATTTGATCAATATTTTATTGCTTAGATTAGTTTTTGATGTAAAAATTTTATTTCTTAAATCCAATGTCAATATTTTTTAGAAAAATGATAAACAACTACTACTTATTTAAATAAACAGGGATATTAATATTGTTAATCATTTTTTGCAAGTTAAATATTTTTTTATTTAATGATTCCATCCACAAAATCACTGGTCAGGAATAACTGATGAAGTAAGATAGTGTATATGAAAGATACAGAAAAGAGTCAGTCACATGTGAAAGACACGCATCTGATCTTTTACTGAAAATTCCTTGCTACCAAGTATTTCAAAATTATGCAATTGTTGTCTTTCTTACAACTATTAAATCAGGATGTGAGCATGGTGAAGGACAGGCCAGTGTTTCTTTCTGTTGCACACAGGATCGGTGAGTCAAAAGTGACTCAGTAACACCTAACAACAACAACAAAATGAGAAAATTTAGGATTATAACCTGGGATGGGGAGGTGGGAGTTGAGGAGGTAGGAGGAAGGAATTGCTAATGAGGGTCTTGGGTTGGCATTCTATTAGAGGTAATTTAACATCCAATATTTCAAGAAATCATTTTGAAATGTGGTTGTATTTGCAGAAACTATCTAGCAACTAAGGAACTCTTGTGGTGTAGTGGTTAAGGCATGTATATATGGCTGCTAACCAAAAGGTAGGTGGTTAGAACCCACCAGCTGCTCCATGGAAGACAGATGAGGCAGCCTGCTTCAGTAAAGATTTGTTGTTGTTATGTTGTTATGTGCCATCGAGTCGGCCCCGACTCATAGCGACCCCTCCTTGGGTTTCCTAGGCAGTATCACTACGGAAGTAGATTGCCCCATCTTCCTTCCGAGGAGTGGCTGGTGGGTTTGAACCGCCAGCCTTCTGGTTAGCAGTCAAGTGCCTGAGCCACTATGCTACCACAGCTCCTAGTAAAGATTTACAGCCTTGGAAACTCAATGAGGTTGCCATAAGTCAGAACTGATTCCAAAGCAACAATTTAGTTATCCAACATCTACTCTTTCTAGGTTGTGAAAGTTTGGTTTTTGGTTTTCTTGGGATCATGAGGAAAAACCTGAGAGGCAACTCTTGATGAACATGAACACGACATCTTGCTCTGTGATACCAAGAGAGAAAATTATTGAACACGAAGTCTTATGCTATGATACTAAGACAGATGTTATATATTGTTGATAAGGAGATAATTAGAATATCCAATGAAAGGAAGAAGGCATGGGTATTCAGGCATTAGTAAGACTTTAGATTTCCAGGTCTCAACACAGTTCTAAACTGGGAGGGGGCTACATTGCTTCTGTGGAAGCAAGGAGCATATATGGCAAATTGAGGAAGGCACTGCCTGTACCAGCTCTGCTACTTACCACCTGTGTGACTTTAGAAGTAACTGAGTATTCATTCTTTTTCAATTCTAAGAGGAGAGATGTAGTTTTAATTATAATTTTAGTTGTAGGTATCTTCTAGCTTCAAGTCTGTTTCAATTCATTTAACAGAGACTAAATTAAGGTTGAAACCTCCAGAATAAGTGTTGAAAAGTATATAGCTATTTTCTACTAAGTGGAATAGATCTTAAGATACACTGACTCCTTCAGAACCAGTTTTGTATTATGCCTTACTTTAGAGCATTTGCAAACAGACTGGGAGTATTTCATTTGTATGAGTTTATTGTTCCTGAAGAAAGGGAGAAAAATTTTGTTTATCAAATGAATGGTTTGTGGAAACATAATGTTGGACAATTTACTGTCGTAGTGATACTGCCCCGGAAACCTAAGGAGGGGTTGCTATGAGTTGCGTCCGACTCGACAGCACATAACAACGACAAAATAAGTCATGATATTTTTTCTCCAACTTTTAGTTTTCAAATAATCTCCAAACCAGAGATCACAAAAAAAAAAAAAAAAAAAAAAAAACCTCACTGCCATCAAGTCGGATCAGACTCAAGTGACCTCTCCTTGGGTTTCCGAGGCAGTTTCACTATGGAAATAGATTGTCCAACCTTCCTTCCAAGGAGTGGCTGGTGGGTTTGAACTGCCAGCCTTCTGGTTAGCAGTCAAATGCCTTAGGCACTATGCCACCAGATAAATAAATCAGTGCAAATAAAATGGAAACATGGGAGATCTGTTGAATGTCTATAGCTTCTTATGTAAAAAAAACAAATTTTGACATTAAAATACTTATATTAATCATAGGGCATTCATGTGCAAATACAATTTCAGAAATATCTCAAATAAATGTGTTCACAAATTTCTGTGAGTTTCACAAATAACTGTTGTTGTTCTTAGGTGCTGTAGAATTAATTTTGACTTGTAGTGACCCTCTCTTACAGAGTAGAAATGTCCCATAGGTTTTCCTAGGCTGTAATGTTTAGGGAAGCATTGCCAGGTCAGTCTCCTGTGGAGCCATTTTGTGGGTTCAAACTGCCAAACTTTCAGTTAGCGGCCAAACATTTAACCACTGTACTACCAGGACTCCTTTTGCAAACATTATCAGTGCTTAATGGTAGAACAGAATAGATACTTAAACATACATTCAATTTGAATAATGCTGCAATATTTTACATTGTGTGGGAAAATCACTGCTATGTAGCTCATCCTATAAAAACTTGTCTATGCTCCTTATTCCTTTTTTGCTTTAAATTCTTAATACACCAAAACCATTTTCTCTACTTTCAAGGCCCTTTCCTTACATGCACCTGTGTGATGTCATTGAATCGAACTAAGTGACATATTTTGTCAAAGTTTGATTCGTGGTACTATAAGACATACATATAAATGTGCATATGTTCTTGCAATTTTTCATTTTAATTTATGTACAGCAATAGCATGTTAGAGAACCACCACTTTATAATGTAGCATATTATGATTGTAATGGAATAGTTAAACTAAATGGAGGGCTGTGTTTTGGTTCAGAATTTCTCTTTCACAGAAGTGAGGTTATGAATAATGTAAATGGTGTTCAAAATCACATATATGATGCTAAATAGTTTCTCACACTGCAACATGAAAATAGATAGCTCCTTGAGTTTATAATGTCATAAGAATACCCACTTACAGTTTAAGAGTGTATTATATCTTTGTAAAACCTTTCTGTATTCTCCTAGTAGGAGATTTTTAAGTACCTGGTAAAATGAATAAATTCTAAACAAGTTCTTAGAAATTCAGCCTTGATATATAAGAAAAGTTTGTTTTTCTGTTGCAATAATAAAAAAAAA